AAGATAATACGAGTAGATATTCTCTAGTATTCCAATTCATTCAAGTAAAAATAGTTTTCAATATTTTCATTTAAAAACTTTTTAAATTATAAAAATGAAATATATAATATTTATATATTCGGATTGAAGAATATTGAAATGATAACTGCAAAATCGTTATGTTCAAATATCGATCACTTAGAAAAATGGGCTGATCTTTAGAAAATACTAAACTCACCGGAATTGATTACGCTTTTCCATTAAATCAGCTACTCGCGTTTTCCTCAAAGGTGCTGGAGAAGCTCCTGGTGAAGTCTGCTCCGACTCTGCCACCATTGTGCGGGCCAATATCAAATCTTCTTCCTTCATATTCAAAAATTAAGCACAAAACACTCGTTCAGGAACCGAAATTAAAATAAGTAAACACGTTTTTCGAAACTCGTTAATCGGAGTTGGAGTCCAATATGTTTATATGTATAAATATTTTTGTCAAAAATAATATTGATATATTATGTATTCGGTATTCGGTATTATTATTAATCACATATCCGTTGTATATAAAATAATTTTATTTATTTTTGCCGTTTGCCCGAATTTATTTCCAAAATCACCTTTTTAAGGAATTTTTTTTAAAATTATAATTGTTAGTGCAAAAAAATTAATTGAAATTTGATTCAATTTTTTTTGTATTCGAAAAAACGAATATCTTCTTTTTATTAAATCCAAGTTTTTTCAAAAAAAATTATTTCGCAACTGCTCGCTTTTGAAGTTCAAATTGTACTGATGCGTTTGTTGCATGAAACTTTTGAATTTCATATCGGAATTGTTCATTGACAACAACAAAAGCAACAAAAACAACAGCAACAAACGTAGCTGAATATTGCTTACATATATGAAAGGTTGTAGATATATGTATGTACGTTTGTATCTGTATCTTTTTGGATAGAATTTAGTATACTCAAAAAGCGAGTGCTTTTATTAAAAATTCTAAATTCAGCAAAATATTTACATTTTTTCACTTCGGAATAAGCGCGCGGGCATAAAGTATGTATTTCTGCTGCCTCTTCTTCTTTTCTGTATAAATCTTAGCTATATGTTTGTACCTCACCTTTTGGATAATGTTTTTAACTATTTACTTGAGGTGTTCATTGAATAAATTTTGTATCTCTGAAATATTTACAGCGGCGCTTATGTGCCGAACGGAATCAATAATGAACATCAGTGGCCGGCCACCTATCAGTCGAGATCAGTAGTGAAGAATAGGCGGCATCGCAGACTCCAGCGATGCCGTCTGACGTGCTTTTTAATTATTTAAGTTAGATTTTTTAGCTACGACAATGTGGAAAATCAACAACAATCATCAACGACTGGTCATCTATCAGTTGCGATCAATACTGAAGTATGAAGTAACACATCACAGACTCCGGTGAATCTGACATCCAGTTACGGTAGTGTGGGATGATAAGTGCAGTTGGTTGAATACAAAGAACTATGAAGCTTGTAGGAACTGATAAAATCTGTACACATTCATTAAAGATGCTATATTGCAAAAACATGTTTTTTATTAAATACTACATAGGTATATATGCAAAATGTATAAATTCATAGATCTGATAATAAGTGATGATAAGTGATGATTTCAATAATCATCAGCCAATGTTGACGATGTTAATTAAAAGCAGATGTGCTTCAAATAAGAATAACCTCTATTACATAAAATTAATAATCGTACTCATGTTATAATAGATCAAAATCCTTAATTAATCGATTTTAATCTTGAACAAATTATGTTCAAAATAAAAAAAGAATTGCTTATATATTGCAACACAATCTTGTTTATAATAGAAACTTAGAGGTGCCCGCAAATGGAAGAGATACTATTAAATGTCAATTTTCTGTTAACAATCAAAGAATCTATAGTTCATAAATAGTTGATGTTAATTACACAAGCCTAAAAAGATGTACTTAGTTATACAAGGCAACTATTTGATATTGTTAATATAAGACGATATCAAGACCATATAAAGACCATATCTAATAAACAGATCTCTTATTATTGATAGTAATATATACAAAATGTGCAAAGATATTACAACTGCAATACATGATGGAGCTCAGGAAGTAAGATAATCTAGACTGATTTGATTATATCGTAGCTTTAGGAAACTGTTTCAAAGTATTACTGCATAAAGTAAAGTTATCCCCGTAAGCGTGCTTTATTTTGTTCGATATTGGCTGCAATAAGTTTTCGCTTAGAACTCGAGCCTCACATCTTGTACCTTGCTCGACGAAGAGATGAGTCTGCAGCTATATAACTGTTGGAAACATCTTTGACTTCAGCAGGTCATTGTCGTAGGCTAGAAAACTGAAACTAAATGTTCTTCTGTATACCAACTCATCACCACTTTTTTTCAACCTTTACATATGATATATAGTGTAGATAAACTGCAGAATTAGCTAAAGAATGTTGTTATCATTATGTATTGTTAGTTATAGTCTTTATATATTAAGATGATCTCACAAGACTCATTGCTTATTCGAATTTCACTATACAGGTTAGTACTAACATCCGCTTACTAAGTTTGGAAAATATATGAAATGCTTTCCTAATTGTCTATTTATATTTCACAGACAGAAATAATCAAGCATTTTCAAATGCTTGCTGCAGTAACAGAGTCCTGCCTCTTAAAGACACACACTCACTAGATGGGTTTGGCAACACACCTAAAGCAAAGAAACTTAGGTACACATGTTATGTACCTGCTCAGTTTTATGGAAAGCACGGTAAAAATGCTTTGGTATTGCATAGGGTCAACAGGAAATAGCTGAGCCAAAAACCGTACTGATCAAATTCACAAAAGACGTTATATATTTCAATATATATATATATATAGTGCAATTATATTATTAACCATTTCAACTCACTTACCCATACTAAAAACTTATCCCCAACACCTTTCAACTCAATCGATGAATTCAGGATCCACATGCTACCAAAAGAATAATCATGATAGCATATCGATATTGTCTGATTATAACAGAGTAAAGCGAGTCTAAACAAGTGTTAAAAGCGTTTAATGGCTGTTAAAGACCTAGGAATGAAAGAACACTATTAAGCAAATATTTTAACATGACCTATTTTTGCTAATGCTGTGTTATAATTGACCCCTTAGATATGTTCTGATTAACACATAATACAAAATTATTAGGTTTTATTTTTAAATAGCGCTGCATTTACCTTTTGATTTGTTACTTTTTTCAAGAACTGGAGAGTTTGAACTAATAAAAAATATATCTGAATTTTTCTGATGCGTATCGGAAGAATAACATTTTTCTTCATATTATTTAGATTTAAAATAAGTAGCTGGATACATTAATTCTTTTCTTTTTGTTTACCCAAATTATAGTAATAAATCCGTCAATATATTATGTATATGTGAGCACAAATATTCAGACACATGGATATATATATGTATATATATAAGAATTATTTTGTACTTTCGTGTAAATAAAAGATCTCATCGGTCGATAATAATGAATTAGGTAAACTAAACATATATGTAATAAAAATTTTATAGAATTTAAATATTTTCAATTAACTAGAATAAAACAAATTAGTCGGATTGTTTGAGAATAGTGTGAGGTGAGATATTGTGGGAGATGAATTGTTTCAAAGGTTCATTCAATCAGAATATTTTTATGGATATTTAAGAAGAAGAATTAAATAAATGTAAAGTTCACACATACACATTAGTTATATATATTAAAAATATAATAATTAAATATTACATATTTTGAAATTCATTTTCGGTATTGAACACAAACGAGATCTGTTTGCTTTGCTAGTGACTTAATTGAGTTCTAATAAATGCATTTGACCAATTTGGGGCGTTTAGATACTAACAAGTAGACAAACAATTACAGCTCTTACAACTATTAAATTATTGAAATATGTAGCAATTACGGCATTTAGCCAAAAGTTAGTTACTAACAACAGTAAATACACTTCGTAATTGGCAAATCGAGGCAAATCGAGGCAAACGACAGTAACCTAAAAAGGCGCTAGTAAACTACTTCAACATTCTAAAGAAATACACAGTCATTAAAATTTTAATCGATCAATGAAAATAAAAATCTGAATTAATAAAATGGCCAAATCATAAAAAAAATGCACATTTCGCAGTTTTTATTAAAAATAAAATACTACTTACTATGTTTTTTTTTATTGAAGTAAAATTTTTGGAGAAATTTTTTAACCAAAAATTTTGCTTGTCTATCTTTCAAAATTTACTTAAAGCATTTAAATTTCAACAATAATAAAATTGTTTTAACTTTTACATATTTAAAATCCACACAAAATCAACTGGATGTTTGTATACAGGGTTTTCTAACGAGGGATTAGGAAGGCAAGTAATTGATAATTGAGTGAAGCGAAAGAGTATCTACCGATCAGCCACGGCAGCCAATCAACCAGATATTTAAAATTGCTACAGACATGAGCCTTTATCTATCTAATTTATTAGTGTTCCAACCAATAAGTCATTTATCTGAAGCAATATTATCTATGACTAAGAATAACTAAAGCTTCCTATATAATTCATATAATTGGAGGAAGTGGTAAGTCTGAATGATTAAGAAATAATAAAAATTTTAATTATATTAAACTTATCGCAACCTGCAACATATATAAACTTGACATTGTCGCTAATTTGAAAGAATCTCAGCTCTGCGAGATCAGTAGAAGATATTCTTTATATTGTTTGAATTACAACTGACAGTATGATTACGATCACAGTAGATCTGTTCCACGAGCTACTCGTAGTAACTTTGAGTAACACTGCACTTGGTTTATTCCGTTCGTATCGAATTACATTTCGTTTTGGCTTAACTTGCTTAAGTTCTTATGGTACATACCGACTAACTGAGCTTTTACTCGTACATTTTATTTCAATCAGCCGTTATGTTTAGAATTAAAATTTTTGTATTGTTTATTTGCGTGGCACTAGTGTTCTCACCAGACTTTCCATAAAGCTGTTCCATGAATATCTGCACAAAGAGCATAATTTGGCACTTCATTTGTGTTACGTTCTCAGTTTGTACTTTACTTGTGTTTTACTCGAGTTTTACTATAAGTAGCTGGTGGAACAGACCTAGTATATATTTGATTTCGCCATATAATTAAGGCACTAAACACAGAGTAATTCTTTATAAAAATGTATTTGGAAACCTTATACGTTTTATTTTTCCGAAGATGACTAATTAAATAAAAGGAGTTGCACATCTCTAACTCTCTTATAATTATCTTTAACAATTGTTAACTGTGCACAATTTTTTGTTGTTTGATGCTAAATAAGCTATACCAATGGTACTAGTTCATATCGTATATAAGGTCGCCACTCCAATCTAAATATGCTTTATGGTAATTTGGTTATTCGCAGATCGCAAATTATATAATTAAGATACTGTGTGGTGACTACGTTTGCTTTTTATGCAACAAAAATCCTCTGCTCCTTATTTAAAACGTTCCATATATTTTAGTAAAGCAGAGTTTAACTGCTAACAATAAAGGTTAAATGCTAAATTAGCATTTACAAACTATCAGACTAATAATTAAAATATTTGATGGAAAAATAGATCAATTATATCTATTGCTAGAGGCACATCACTTTTAATCATACCGTCAAGGACCCAGTTAAGCATGATGAATGGATTATCCTTGTAATTTAGAAAAATGGAACATGCTGATTACACCGTCAATATTTTTTGACAGTTAATGGTGCACAATCTCCCCCCAAGTCTATAATTAAAAACTCTATCAATAGCAATTTTTTATATTAATTTTATTGCAGTTAAGTATTTATTGTCAATTATAGACATACATACATACATACATAGAATATATATCCATATCGACGTGAATGCAAATCGCTTCAGAAAATTTGCCAGTGAACATGGCCAGTGTTCTTGAACATGGCACCTGAGGCAATGCTGCGCTGTGAACTTGTTAGTCATCCATTATTCTTGACTTTGCATAAAATGTATATTAGTTTTGCGAAACATGGCAGTGGAAACATTGCATGAATAAAATTTAAAAATTGATTAATCGATTCATTCCGTTCGAAAATCGAATAGGTTTTCTTGTTCGATGATTTGTGCAAAGTGTGATGACTTTTGATCTAAATTTGATAGAAAATGTGTACGAGCTTGTTTTTAACACCTTTTCAATCTCAAATACTTTGTTTTGTGTTTTTGTTTTTATTTGTTTTTATTTGCACATTTATTTATTATTTTTTGTATAATTTTTCGATTCAAACGATATGCGAATGAAGTGTTGAACTCGACTCCAATCAGAAATTAATTTATTTTATTTCACGAAACAACCGTTTAATGTGTTCGAATGATGAATAGAGCAACGGTGCAATAAACGAAAAACGTGATTAAATCAATTATTCAGATTTTAAATAATTATTTCAATTCAATACCATACATACAATACTTCCGAAGTCCAAGGATAGAAGTTTTTGTGGAAACAAAACATTTGAAAAGTAGAAAAACATTTTGAAATCGATTATAGACAAAATAACGAAACGTCACTCTTAATCGTTGTATAGGTAGAAATAAAAACGTGTACAATCGATGGACATCTGTATTATGTGGAATGTGCATTGTTGAAACTATACCCAGTTTTTCATACACATTATATTCTTCTAATCAGATGGAATTGCTGCAGCCATCGGTGTTCACTCTACAGAACTTGCACTGTATTAAATATATTTCTTACGTAAAGTAAAGACTATAGGCAAGTTAAGAAGGTAGTGCTAATACAACTGCCATCACTTCGACTCGGAAACATTTATTGCTCATTGTGATCCTCTCAGAGTTGCAAAACAAATCAGTTATATTACTTACTTTATTTATCATCGGGTTTCGGCCTGATATAGCACTTCTCTCCAGACATCTCTAACATTCGGGCTACATTTTCATTTTACGTGATACGTGCTAAACTCTGTGAACTTTAATTGGTTAGGATGGGATTCACTGTAGGCACTATTAGTTCATTGCGAAGCGAGTGCTAGGTAACTATTCATTGATGTCACATGGAGGTTAAATGACAACTTGGATTCAGCACCATCAGTTAACATTTTACAAGTTAAATGTGATAAAACATATTGCCATGAATACTAGCTTCCAGCGGTTCGCAGAATCATTATTTATTATCATCACCATTATAAAATATTTGTCTAATCAATTGAGGGATGAATTTAGATATAAAGTAAAATTATTTCTGAGCACATATGTGGGAACTGCTGAGGAATAGGGAATTTAAATCCAATACACCTTTTTCTTATTGTGTTACACTAGTAGATAATATCAGAGCATATTATTATAAATCACCTAGGCATGAACTCAAACGTATATTAGGTCCTAGTAAAGGATAAATAAAAAAGAAAACCGTGAGTTGTATCTGTTGTTCTGATAATGGAGAATTTTTAAAAAAGAATTGTGTTTTTGTTTTTACCATGTTTTTATGGTAGTGAAAATATAGTTTACATTGTTCTTGTATTGGTACTAATGGTACGTGATGGTTTTTTCCACTATACGCTTGAATAGTCTTAAAATATATAGTAGATATCGTCATACGATGTCGCTTCACATTTTATAATTTTAGGTGTTCATGCAATCAATAAACCAATATAACCAATAAACAATAGAATATGGAATCAACAAATAGAGTCAACAAATTCGAAATAGTGTCAAAAAAAAATCCAGAAATCAAAAAGAAAACTTATTGCAACTAATGTGTCTAATTTTCTTTTCTGATTCTTAGCATTTTTTTTTCAATTTCAAATTAGTTGAGTGGAGATAGAAATTTCTGTTGCGGAGCCTGACCCTTTTAAGATTGAAGATACTGAAATTGATTTCCCGAAATATAATCCAAAAGTCAAATCGACCAAACAGGTGAAATCAGTTGTAAAGAAAAGACTTCCTAAAACAGCACCAAATTCAACAGCAGTCAAGTCAATTTCAACAGGAAATTCTCAATTCCCAACTCCTAAGCGGATCTCTACGCCTGAAAACATTCATACTAATGGTATTGTTTCTGACAATATAACGAATCGAAATCTTTTACAACCTGTAACCTCAAATAAGAAAGTAGGCAAAGTTGTACCTATTGTACTCCGTCGAACCAACACGTGGAACTCTTTAGTCAAGCAATTTTTAACAAGAAACATTAATTTTAGCGAGGCAAAGAAGGTCCGTTTGGGCATACAAATAACTCCTGCCACCATAGATGACCATCGCAAGATAACAAGATATCTAAATGAGATTAGTGAGCCATTTCACACCCACTTTCTTCCTGACGAAAAACACCTCAATATAATAATTAGAGGTTTAGAGGGTCAGAGTATAGATGATATTAAAGAAGATCTTGCAGGCCAAGGATTTAGTATCTTTGAATGCCATTTTTTGAAAACTAGACAAGCTGCCAGCAATTTAGTTAAAATCAGACTGCCAGCTGACCAGAAGAACATATATAATGTTTCCAGTATTTGTCATTTAAAGGTGATTATTGAAGCCCAGCGCCCTCTAAAAGGTCCCCCACAATGTCATAACTGTCAGCAGTTCGGGCATGTCGCTACTAACTGTAGAGCCACACCAAAGTGTGTTAAGTGTGAGGGCTCACACCATCACCAACAATGTACAAAACCACGCGATGTTGCCCCGATTTGTTCGAACTGTGGTGGTGGCCACCCAGCCAACTATAGAGGATGCCCTTGCGCTCCGCAAATGCTGAAGAAAAAGAATGTCTCCACACCAATTTCTACGGTCAGTTCTAAAGTGCAGCCTTCAATTTCTTATGCCGATGCTTTGAAGAAGGGAAGTACAGCTGAGCAAGTTTCGTCCAATTCCCACTTGCTAACCTCCCACATGGAGAAGCTTTTAAATAATATGCAGATACAACTTAGTACAATGATGAAAACTATGATGGAGTCCTTGTTACAAAGTTTAGTGCCAACCCTAGCTTCTTAATGAGTTTGTCATCATATCGACTTAAAATTGTGACGTGGAATGCCAATTCCATTATTAACAAGAAACATGAGGTCATCCAATTCCTGCATGATTTTGAAATTGACATTATGTTGATCCAAGAAACATTTCTGAAACCTGCTATCCATTTTAAAATTCCCAATTATGTTGTTTACAGATCAGACAGAAACTCAAGAAGAGGTGGTGGCACAGCCATCGTGATTAAATATGGCATTAAACATCATGCTACAATTTGCAACCAACAATCGCTCGAAACAACATCTGTACTGGTTGAAAGCCAACTTGGTAATATAAATTTTGTGTCAGCATACAGGCCACCGAGTTTGCAAATTCTCCCTAATGAACTTGAGGTTATCCTCAACAACGAGACACCTACTTTCTTAGCGGGCGATTTAAATGCATATCATAGCAGCTGGGGTGACAGAAATTCAAACAGAGCTGGCAGGGATATTGATGGGCTCGCCACTGAACACTTATGGCAGATTCATGCGCCAGGTGAACCGACACATTATGGCAGAATCACAGGCCACGTCATTGACTTCGGAATTTCAAATAACTTAGAATCGAATGTGCACGTAGAGGTCCTTGATGAACTGGACTCGGATCACAAACCAGTTCTTTTTATTCTTGAAAATTGTCCAGCAATCAACATGAATCTCACGTACATAACCACTAACTGGGACTCATTTAAGAATCAGGTTGATATTTCAAATATAAATAATTGGCCAGTAACTTCTGAGGATCTTGATGACTGTATCCAAAAACTCACTCTCAAGATTAAGGAGGCATTGGATAATAGCTCCACCACCAGGACCAGAAAACCAAGTAGCTACTTTTATCTGCCGCATTACATCAAACAAATTATTAGACAAAGGAATGCGATTCGAAAATTTGCTCAAATAACTGGAGATCCTATGAGAAGAAGAGAAGCCAATCGTCTCTCTAATGTAATCAGGAAAAAAATTGGCAAATATAATAATGATAAATGGTGCGAATTTCTTTCAGGAATTGATACAGGTAATAAAACCTTCTGGGCTTTGAACAAGTATTTTAGGCTTAAACGTAAACCGGTAGTGCCGCCTTTTTATGTAGCTACCGGCATGGCTTTCTCAGACATAGCCAAAGCTGAGGCCTTTGCAGATTCTTTGGAGCTGCAATTTCAGCCCAATACTGATAGTGACTATAATTCTCTGGTAGAAGAAAATATTGCCGAAGAGGCTGCTAATCTTAGGAACCTGATGTCAGATGAAAGCATCTCACAGTGTTCCAGAGATGAGATTAAATGTATTATTTCGAGTCTAAAGACCAGATCGGCACCCGGATATGATAATATCAGTAACAAATGCCTACGTAATCTTCCAGAAGATGCAATCCAATGCATTGTTAACATCATCAATTGCATGCTTAGGCTTGGCGAATTTCCAAAGGCCTGGAAGTTGGCCTCAGTCGTAGTGTTTCCTAAACCGGACAAGAATCCTTCATTTCCGCAGAACTGGCGTCCTATCAGTCTGCTCCCAACTATGGGGAAATTGGCAGAACGAGTAATCCTGACTAGGCTTAAAACAGCGGTAAATGCCCTAAATATACTTCCTGACGAACAATTCGGGTTTAGGGATAATCTCTCCACGGAATTACAACTAGCCAGAACTGCGCAGCTGATTCAAACCGCTCTAAGTAAACGGGAGTCAACCGGGATGATTATATTTGACATAGCCAAAGCTTTTGACAAGGTCTGGCATGATGGTCTAATAGTCAAATTAGCCCGTTTTGGGATCCCTAGTGGTTTGACTAAAATCATTGGTAGCTTCCTGCAAGAAAGGTCCTTCCGTACTAAAATTAATAGCACTCTTTCGTCCGCCCGATCAATTGTAGCAGGTGTACCTCAAGGGTCGCCTTTGTCTCCCACATTGTTTAATATATACACGGCAGACATCCCCACCTTAAGTCCCACATCAATGGCGCTTTACGCAGACGACACATGCTTGATCTACTCGGATCGGGATGCCTTAAATGTAAGCAACACGTTACAGGGAAATATAGACCTTATGGTGGAATACTTCCAAAAATGGAAGATTAAAATTAATAATGACAAAACCAAGGCTATATTTATAACTCGAAAAAGAAGACAGCATCCTCCAAGAGTGAGCGTTTGCGACACGGAGATACGTTGGGAGGATAACATAAAATATCTGGGGGTCACTTTTGACAAACGGTTCAATTGGCTTAAACATTTGAAATACAAACGGAATAGCTGCTCTAAGATTCTACATTTATTAAAGCCGCTATTTAATAATTATCACTTCAACTTTACAAACAGAAAGTTACTTTATACGCAAGTAATTAGGCCTGCACTTCTGTACGGATGTGTTACATATAGCAAAGCCTCAAATACCACCTTAAAGCAATTACAGATAGCTCAAAACCTGGCCTTAAGAAAACTGTTTAAGATTCCATGGTACATTAGATCTACGGACATACATAGAGATCTTAGGATTGACTCAGTGAAAAAATATATCAGAGACAGAGCTTTAAAATTATTCACTAAAGTTGATACGCTACTTAACCCCGCCATAACAATCCTCAAGTCCACTTCTGGACTCTCAGGAAGATATGCTGATTTAAGGTCCGTCATCAACTAAAAGACAAATAAATGATATGATTTTTTAGCCTAGTTAAAGCCTAGTGTGGGGTAGTGATTAACCCCCCAGTCATTATAGAGTAAAAGTGCGTAATAGCACTAACTCAAGAAGAAGAAGAAGAAGAAGAAATTAGTTGAGCACAATTTCAATTACAATAACTTATTTTTAATTTAATGTTGACAGCATAATTTTGAATTTATATTATTATGCCAAACTAATAAAATTTCAAATTTAAATTTTTTATTTTTTTTGATTTAGGTTTCATTAAAAATAATATATATTAGATGTTACATTTTTTTTAAACAACCAAAAACTAAAAATTAAAACTCCGAAATTCTAATATTTATTTGTTGAGTATAATTAATTAAAGTGAAAATAACGTGCTTTTGTTAATTTAAAAACATTTTTGCAACAAATAAAACTGACAAATACACTTACCATTTTTTTACAACAGGTGGCGCTTTAGTCATTAGAAACCATTTTTGCGAACTCACGCTGCTGACATATGTGCCGCTGTCAAATTGTATTAAGAAGTGTCACGCAATTCGTGCAGATTTCATTCGCTTAATGAAACTCTGCTTTTGCTAAATTAAATATTGTGAAGTTATACAAATTAGCTATAATCTAAAATGTCTGGAAGAGTTGCAGCTGTATTATTTGCTAGGAAAAGCCATTTTGTAGCAGCTTTGCCAAAAAACTTACACATTAACGAGTGAGTATGCCGCTGCGCCTAAACAAATAAAAAAATAATGTGACGTAATAATTTAACCAGCTTACATATAATTTTACATTGCTTTACATGACGCAAACTATATGTGTAAACATAAATAATAAATTTTTTTTAAAATAGAATTATGGCCAACGGTGTGCTGCCACATAAATCCATAGCCATGTGCAGACTTTACGGCTCTGAGACTTCCGCTGAAAAAACTAAAGTAGCACAAACAGAAGCAGCCCCACCAAATACCGGTAAAGTAGAAGCCGTGGACAAATTAGCACATGAGGTAGAACATATTACGAAAGAGCTCAATGAACTCAAAGCGAAAAATGATGATATCCTAGATAAGTACAAACGTGCACTTGCTGATGGTGAAAATTTACGTGTCCGGTTGACTAAACAAATTGCAGATGCAAAGGTTTTTGGTATTCAAAGTTTTTGTAAGGATCTGCTTGAAGTTGCTGATACGTTAGGACATGCTACCGCTGCCGTACCTAAAGATGCAGTAAGATCGCTTAAATTTACGAAATGCATTCGTTAATTTCTAAATTTTAGGTAAACGATAAAAACCCACATCTTAAAAGTTTATTTGAGGGTCTCAATATGACGCAAGCATCATTAATGCAGGTCTTTAAGAGACATGGACTTGAACCAATGGATCCCATTAATCAGAAATTTAACCCCAATTTTCATGAAGCTTTATTCCAAAAGGTGTGTACACCAAAGTTATTTATATAATTTATTATTTTCTACAACGCTATTCACTGCAGAATTCATAGTTTCTAATAAAAGCAAGACACAAGCATAAGTCATAAGCATAAGCCTTATCTAATGCGAGAATAATTTGGCATTATCAGCAGATAATTTCATAATTAATTCGGTAAATAAATTTTCTATAGCACAACTTGTGAGTTGATAATGAAACTGAAATTTTTTTGTTGAATGAAGTCTTTAAAAAAAAACTTCTACACAATTTCTTAATTATCACATTTCGTATATATAATATAATTCTGTATCACGACACTTAGAATTATATAAAATTCAAATGAAATATAAATTCATCAAAGATTGTTTGAGCATCTGTAACTTACAAATACTTTCTCTAGCAAATTTAAATCTTATCTTATTTCGACAAAGAAATTTTTGTCAAATATGTCGTCTAGTGATTACTTATATTAAAAAACATTTCCATTAAACAAGATCATACATTGTTATTAATATTTATTTTAAGCAGGGATATACGTTCTTCTGTTTTAAGTCAATGCGAATATAATTACTTTCAATATTTATATATGAGATATTTACAATGCTAAATAACGAGTTTGGTAACCTGATATACTTGTGTTGCTGATGCTTTGTTGTGCTCACGTTGTTGCACTGTTACCACTTCACTCGGCTACCGAGTTCGTTACTCACAATGGTGAATACACCCCCTGTACATGTATCTTATTTAACTCTTTTATCAAAAATAACTTAATATATATTATAAAATTTTTTAAAAAATAATTTAAAAATCATAATTAATAAACAAAAATATATTTTGATTTACCCACAGGTGGATACAACTGTTGAGCCGAACACTGTTGTGGAAGTGACCAAATTAGGTTATAAGCTGCACGAACGTTGCATACGACCTGCTCTTGTCGGTGTATCAAAACAATCATGAAATGGTTGTTGTTGATCTTAGTTTAGGACTAATATAGAAAATTAAATTCCTTTGTAAAAGAGAGCAAAACTTGTAGTGTTAACTCAAATATGTCGCTTGTATTATTTCGAGATTCTTCTTGCGACATAAATCGAAAAATGTAAGAAACGCATATTTTGACTTGATTTGTATTAAAAAAATTAAAAGTATGTTATGTTGTGGTGTATATATTTACTTCTATTTTATTATGTAGGCAATATAAATTAATGCTTTATACTTTTAATTACATATTAAAGCATTAAATCTTTGCTAACCAATGTACAAAGAATTTACTTTTACAAATTAAGAATTTATTGTTTATTAAATAGATTAAAATAATATAAAATATGTTTTATATTACGCATTCAAACGTTTGAATATGTAAAAATTTACAATTTATTTTTTGTTAGAATATTAGAAAAATTAACATGTCATTGAAACGCATTTGTCTCGCCAAGGAAAGCAATTAAGAAATATTTTGCACTTCATTTATAGTTTGTGTTGTTATATTAATATAATATATTGAAAGGTTTTGATTGTCGCAAGATACTACCGAAATTATTTCAATGTTTTCGCCGAATTCAATAATTTCTTTAAATCTTCATCTTGTCCAATTGCCTTCTCAACAGCAGCAATTAATTGCGCATCGATTTTTGTATCTCTGTCATGCGCTAGAGAAAAAGTGCTAACTCTTGTCGCCAATTCTGCTAATTTGGGTTTGCTTTGTAGAAATGTTTCCAATTTCTTTTGTGGTATTTTAGTTACTCTTGCCAGTTGTTGTATATGCGGCAGGAGTGCTTTTGGTGTCGCAATTTTAGATGAGTTCACATTTTCCACGACGGATACAGTTTGTGGACGCATTGGTATTGGGTAATGATAGGGTAAAGGATTACGTATCAGCATTGGTTTTTTACTAAAATTACCAACAACAACTGGCAGTGGTAGGTTTCGATATTGTGTAGCAAACCGCGTAATTATCTGAGGCAAAGGCTTTGTTTGTGTTACTGGAGGTTTTATTTGTGTTATTGGTGGTTTTATTTGTGTTGTTGGAGCAACATGAACTGTATCGTGGTGCGGTAATAAGTTGCTGAAATATTTTGACATGCGTTCCAAGAAACCCAGTTGTGGTGTTGGTGTGATTTTTTTGATGGGATCTGTTACTAGTACTAATTTTTTATCATTAGAAGTATCTTTACCATACACACTATCGGTTTCATTTTCATCATTTTCTACTGCTGTGCGAGCATTATCTGTATAGTCAGCGGACTCTAAGTACGCCTAGAAAAGTAAATGGATTTAATTAAGTAAATAATAATTTTTTTATTTTAAATATATTTACTTTCAGAAAAGCTATGCCCTTTTCTGTGGAAGTAAGTTGTCTGATTTGTTTTATAGTTTCTGTGGGACTTTTAGTGCCTAATAGTTCACCTAGAGCGGATATGGTGGGTACTTCATCCATAGATTTCAAACCCAATTTATTTTTGGCTATATCTAAAAGATCTTTTGGAAATTCATCTGGGTTAACTATGTTGCCAGGCAAAACAGTTGTAGAGGGAAATTGGCTCATAGCTGGTACAATTTCATACATTGGATATGGTTGCACAGCATGATAGTATGAAAGTAGATTTGAAGAGTTCTTCACCTCAATTGGTAACGGCGTTGAATTTACTGTATTCACCGAAATTGCACTATCATCATCAAAGAATTTAGGTATGAATGAGACGCGACATAATCCCAAGTTAAGAACCGTAAGCAAGTATATAAACTATTAAAGAAATGATTTAATTCAATTTTTAGATGGTTTAAAAAATATTTTACTTACTTTAAACCACATAACGAAAACACTGAAAATACTATAAACAAAAATAAAAAAACTTAAACGCTTGTGTACCCGCACTGACAACCAAAGGACAACTAATTGAGAATTCTTTGATATGTAATAGAAGCCACTTTCTGAAGCTGATGAAGCTAGCAAAAGGCAAAAGAAAACTCCGTGCAGGAAATACGTAAACAAATACCTGTCGTTCACTTCCACGAACTATCCCCGTAACATGAAAATGGTTAGCTGAAGTATTGAAGCATTGTTGAATTTTCTACCTGGTAGGTAGAACTCCTCATTGTTTGCTCCATGCTGTGTTTGTGAGGATCTAACAGCGCACACCTTTTTATAATTCTATACGTTTTTGCTATTTTTTATAATTCTTAAATTTTTCAAAGCAACAATTGAATTGTATATTTCTATAAGGAATCTTTCAAATGGTTTTGTGGAAAGATGTATGTACTTTTCACATTGTGTCACTCTCTTCTAGTCCCATAAAAGTAGTTAAATGGCAGGTAAAGATTTTGAATTTCAACCTAATTGTATATATCAAATATTTGCTTGTAAACAAAAATTTCTTAAAGAGCATCACAAACGATTTCATATGTTTTCCTGATACTTTATAATCCTCACAATTTTTATTCAAACCAGTCACTTAGGTAGACCAAAAACGAAATGGAGAAATGGTAACCATTCACCGAAATAGACAAAAAACGGAATGGTAAGGTAATGTTGTTGGCAATGGCAGAATCCTTAATATTATTAACTGAAGACGTTATCAGGTGTTCGATATTTTTTAACTGAAAAATTTTGTAATAGTTATAGCGCTTCTAATATAAATTCTAATCGATCGAAGTTTACTTTTATTAATTTAAATCAGCTATCTTAAAAGCTCGTATCTTGCATAAACTTTAGATGTTTGTGAATATTAAAATCTCAAGGAAATGACTTTACAATCGAAAAGAAAATTTTTAACGACCTATTTAGTTTATATGATCGTTATGGAATACATTCGAGAATCACTCAAAATGTATTTATAATTATATAAGTTACATGGTCCCTTCTGCTACACAAACTTAATGTACTCTTTGCGCAGAGTGTCTAGGGTATCGACCTTGCATACATAGCTACACACATAAGAAAATGAATGCGTCATTAGAGAAAGCACGTGTATTGCATTATACAAACTTGGGGTTTATGCAATTCTCTGAATAATTAACTATTCAATTTAGAGAAATTATGGTATGTTTACAGCTTTGAAACATATTTCGAGATGTTGTCAATAATTTAAAAGAACTTTGTGCAAACACCTCAAAACGTAAGGAATTTTAATCATCTATACGTTATTAAAATGCTTCATTTATCTATCGCCAAGTGCATAGGATATAACCTAAATTAATCGCGGCAAATCCTAAAAATTGGCGAATATTTTTACTATTTCCAATGACAATTGTTTTAGTAAATTTTTGGAAAAACAAAACCATTAACCGGAGTTGCTTCTTTATATTTGCTAAAATATTTTTATTCTTTGTCCTTGAAAAGCACTCAAATATTCAAAATCCAAATAAATGAGCGTGCATAGGACACAATTCTGGTCTAATTTAATCAAAATTAACATGTGGACTTTATAATTTAATCATATTTTAACTCCACTTAGTATTTCAAACGCACGCTGAGAAGGGCAAACTCAAAATGAATGTCGGGAAAATGACGAAAGCAATATCTGTTCCATTACTGGGTTGCCATGTGATATGAAAATGATTTCGAATATACATTTACAGTGATGCATGTTATAGTCGTGAAATATTTTCTAAACAAATATATATTAGGTGCTTTCGGCAGTTTTTAAGTGTGGCGAAAAACAATAAGTTGCTTATAGGCTATAGACACTTAGCGAGATATTGGCAACAATGTTGCAATCGGTTAAATGTTATGTTCTCGCATTATGTATAAAGAGCACTTTTTGTATAAAAATAAACAATAAAATTAAAACTAAAATTTAAAGTAAATAATTAAGTAAAAGTAATATTTACCATGCAGGAAATTTTGCACTTTCCTTTAATAACAAAATTAAAATAAGTTTACAATATTTATGTGTTAATAAGTGTAAGCTTGTTAGCAACTAATAAGTTAAATATTTTAAACCGCTTTTTAATTATAAAATTTTGTAAATATTTATGTGTATATTTATTTATTTTCCACAATTTTGCATATTTTTAAAATATTTCCTTTTCAAAATTTTTAAATTTGTGAAACTTTTTAATTTTACTTAAATTTTTGTTTCTAATCTTTGACAGAAGACTGGAATATTCGTTGAAATTTCGAATGAAGGTTCACAATAGTTCGCTTATTACGTTTGTAATATTTTGAAATGTTAAAGAGACTTTACTCCTACATTTCAAGCAAAATTTGTGTTGATGTGTGAATCAGCTGTTTTGGTTTGAATTTAAATTTTTGTATTGTTTGTGTGGCGGCAATGGTGTTCTCACCACATTTTACACAAAGCAGTTTGTACTTTACTTGTGTTTTACTTTACTTTTTCTACGAGTAGCTCATGGAACAGACCTATTATTTGCAATTCACAAATATGATAAAAAACCAACCTTTTATATTTCTTTGGAAGATGATTTCGACAAATATGTTGCCCTGTTCGAATAACCACAACTAATTAGTATCCTGCTGCGTTTTGTCAATATTTTATTGAATGTGTGAAAATTTTTAACAGTATATTTTTGCCTATGAAAGTAACATTTATTGATTAGTTGGGAATTCATAAGGAAATCATACTCTATTTTGTTCCATAATATTAAAAATTGCCTTTTAGAAGAAAAATGTTGGGGTAAGTTGAAGTCTTCAGATAATTATTGTGCGCAATCATTTGATATATACGAATACAGTATTATTTATTGTCATTTAAAATTGCACTCAGTTATTATTCATTATATATAAGAAAGGCAAGCAGATGTTTCACGATCATTAAACTATTATGTTATATGTTCACAGTATTAATTTTCAATTAAAAAATTTTAAAAGACAACACATTGTGGATGCTTCTGCACTCTTGCAACCTTTATGCTTCCGCTCTGCTGATTTCCTGATAGGTTGGCTGTTAATATTTTGATAATGTGCAAAAAAATTTGCAACCCTGAAAATTCAGTCACATCAATTTAAATGCGAATTTAAACGGCGTTTGATTTTTGCGATTTGAACAGGCGATCAAAGTAAGCAGGAGGTTTGTCCAATCTACTGTACTGGCATAAATGATTTAAAGAAGTTTCAAGGATGCATTTACCTAACATCTTGTGGTCAAATTCCAGCTGGAAAATAGTATTTCATTAAAGGCAAGAAACAGAGAACTGTGTGCATTCATGTTTGCATTGTCACAAAGTATGTTTATTTGGTAAAATGTGTACAATATATTTATTGTTTAGCAATGTTAAATACGTTGTAAATGGTAAGAGCAAGCGTTCTTTAAGAAAGATATTTGGCTTGGACGATATTGCTTCGATTGTTGGTAAGTAGATCTGTGCAGTATGTATGTAAACAAAGGCTTACTAATATGAGTATTTGTATATAATTTATTTAGAACTTATAAATGCATATTTATATTTTGACATTATTGTTATAATTGTCTGTATTATATTTTATTTCACGTAGGGGTTGTACAAGTCCAAATCCATTACCTTTACTTCGATTCTCCGAAAAGTGGATATGGTTAAGTTCTTCTTTAAAAGTAGTTTCGGCAAGTATGTTTTTTGTATTCACAGTACATTTATATTTGATTACCATTATGGAAACTTGATAAGGGACATTCAATTTTTAATACTGTTGTAAACAATCATATGAGGATTTATAAGTATAACGAAATTTTATATCCTTTATAAATTTATATTTCTCATCCTCGAACACTATTATAACAATAGTAACATGATATTTGTTGTCGCATTTACCTGCGGATTATTAATGTTTGATTTTATAAAAGCATAAATTCCTAGTAAAATCCCGTATTTTGAAAATATCCAATTAATATACTTTCCAATTATCACAAAAACAGATAATCCAGGCGGTTTCCCTTGTCACCTATCGCAGCTCATTGAAAATATGTTAAAAATGCAAGAAACTTCAAATGCTTCTAAATGTTTGCTGGGATTGTATCACACACTATTTTAAATTAATTTCTTTGCTTGCATTTAAGTTATAAAAAAAAGTGTTGTAAATTATTTCTTTTTGAGAATAATTGAACAATTCCAAAAAATTATTTAGAAAAGGGCAAGTAGATATGCCTTCACACTTCATCATATTAATCGTGATCACTGGGAATGCTTTTATAATATGTCTTTTATGTTACATTATATTAATAGTGTGTTCAATATATAGATAGTATGGACACATTCTGAGAAACTCCCACATATTTCCATTTTGAGCCCCCAAATAACAGGCGCGCAACAATATTAAAATGCATCTTGCAGTTTCATTTATAAACCACTTGCTGCTTATAAGCAAACTAAAGTATTTTTAAGTGAACTTAATTTGTTATAAATTATTTTATGCAGTGTATACGTGTCTATAAATGAAACTGTTCATGTCTTACAAAAAAGAGTTAAAAATTATTAATTTTTATTAGGTGAGCAGTTTGGACTGGCAGTGTCCAAACGAAATCTGTGTATACGCAACGAGTCTTTTATTGAAATAATTCTACGGTGGAGAATATTAAGAAAGCTTCTCTATTAAATTCCCTAGAAATATTGAGTTGCGTTTATTCGCTTTCTACTTGGAGTGTTCGCCTAATGTTTAGCAATATAAACTTCCTGGAAAGAAAACAATAATATAAGCCTTAGGCACAATTTTTTTATAACCCTAGAGAGAGAGAGAGAGACACAATTATTGTTATGTACTTTCTTTCCCATAATAATATTTGTTTAAAGTTCTTTTGAAAAATTAAATAAATCATACTTTTTAGTCAGTTAATTGGGGTAGGTCATTCATTTGTTTGCTTTTTCCTACTTAAAAATATATCAAAATTATAATTGAAAAAATCAATAAATTCATGTTTTCTACCAGGCGCAGAGCAATCACAGTTCACTGATGAAGTTCAAAAATGCAGTGAGAATATGGTTTTGTGTGCCTGTGAACATACCTGACCTATTCCAACTTTATATTCCGCTTTGTTTACTGTGAAATGATCGTGCGTCATGCTGGCTGCCGCAGTAAATTCGTTTTTGTATACAAACATGATTATATTGTGTATATTTGTATATATACCTATACATTTCTACATATATATGTATTCATATATGTATATTTATACTCAAAAGATAATAGTCTGTTCACTTGCATGCCAGCACAGCACAGCACTGCCTCTGCTTTTGTATTGACAAACAAAACTGAATAATAGCGATAAAAATACTAGAGGTCAACAAATAAAATAGTGCGTAGATCGGTTCTATAGACTTTACCGTTGCTGTACATACATATGTAGTAGACACATATATTGATAGTTATGGGCTATGCCAATAAAAAGTATTGGGCGAAAATACCGATTATTTTAATCGATTTATATTTTATTATTGGAAAAAGAATTTGTGTGTCCAAATAGGTCTTCACTTCCTAAGATATTACAAATTCCTGAGATATCTTTATTATTTTCTGCAATAATTAGGTTTCTGTTTTTGACCATCTTTATAACCCCTAATAAATTATATATTAAAATAAAAATATTGCAAGTTATGACCAAATAAAAAATTTCTATGTTAGTTAAGAGAATTAAATGCTGTTCTATTGTGTAGGGTAAATAAACGCATTACCAAATATATTTGTTAATAGTGCGTAAATGCCCACATCGTTTGAGTTTTAAAATATTTTGAAAAGGGCATGCCCTTCTCACAAACGCTGTGCACCTATTAGATTGTTACAGTTTGTTGTTTCTGATCTTTTATATCAAGGTTTTTGAAATAAATGTCTGAAGAGCAAACAAATAAATAATAGACATTTATTATTATAATTCCAAAGATTACCTAAATGCCACGTAGGTATATCCAAGATCCGTACTCTATTGAAATATTTTTTGTAAGGGGAAGTCGCGTCTTCGCGAACATTAGGTGAACAGCAAATTTGTAAGAAACTCAAGACGTACGCATATCTGATTATTTTATTTTGAAGAAAATAAGTTTTTGGTTTTATGTGCAGCGCCTCTTGCACATAGAAATGTGAAAATATATTTTTTATTTGAGTTTTATGCGTAGGTATGATATTATATGTATGTCTGGTTTACCCACAGCAGACAAAGTGACCTTTGCTCAGAGAGTATTTTTTTTTTGTTTTTTGAAATATAAATTTAATAGTCTGTATTTCATTAACATACTTATCACATTTTATGTTTTCTTAGTAAGTTTGAGATCTTACAAGTAGATTTAGCTTAGATCAAGTGGCTCAACTGAGTGTGACCCGCACATACAATGATTTAAGCATTATTATTGCTGTCGTGATGGCATGCAATTTAGCCAAATGATGTGATGAAGATCAGCTATAATTATATTTCAACACAATGCTCAGTCGCATCTTCATAGAGTTCAACGATGTGAAACGAACTGTAACATTTCAATAGGATCTCAGAAAACTCTATAGGCATACTATGGAGTCTGTGTGATCTGTTTTATCTGCTTTCTCACACAAAAAGAATTAAAGATTTTTGGTTTAAGGTAAGCAATGCCCTCTGCTCGTAGTAGTAAAACGTAGTGAATTGTGAGAATAACCTTTTTTGAACTTTATGAAGTTTGTATACAAAATATCAACTTGCTTTTTATGATAGTATGCAAACTGAATATAGTTCTAAGTGGAGCTGAAATAGTTTACAAAATATTTATTTTCTAAATACTTATTTTTATAGTTATTTAGGAGTATCTGTTAGAATGAGATATATAGATTTGTTAGATATATAGATTTGTAATTATCCAAGTTTAAACACTCTTCATATAAACTTATTAAGAACTTGCCAAATAAAGTTTGAGATAAATTCGTACGTTGTATAAAGATTTTCAACAATTATTAAAAATAAATTTAAAAATATAATATATCTACAAATGAATACATTTAAATCTTAAGGAAAACATATTAATGAATCAGAACATCCCAAAGCTTATATTGTAGATATACCAAATTTAAACGATCTTATAAATTTTCAGTATTAGTATATAACTATAATTAGTTGTCTGAATGCATAATAAAGCAAATTGTTACATATAGTTCAGTTAACTTCTGATATCTTCTTCCTTGAATATTGGCAGCTAGGCTTTCATTAATTTGTCAATGAACACATAAGGTCTAAAAGAGCAAAGTCAGACCGTTCATTCTTAAACATTTATTTTCTAATTGACATTTTAATATATATTAAATATAAAAGTATATGAAACTAAAAAATATATTAAATATAATTAAAATTTTGCATTATTAAACCGATATAGTTTCTACTTCAAAAGCTCGAAGGAAAGCAAGGTTCTCTAATTGTTAATAAGTAGGACTTATAAATGTAAACACACATAAGTTAATCGCCTCATTGTAAAAACGTTATGGAAACAATTTAAAAAGATTCATATCTAGCTTAAAATCATTTTAGCTTTATTTATATAGTTCAAAAATAAAATTAAATAAATAAATTAATGTTACTATAGTAGTCGATTCAACTAAAGCATGTAACGTCTAAAATATCTAAAGTAAAAAATTTATATTAATTTGTATAAAATCGCAAAATTTCGAGTTTTCTTACAAATGGAACAATTAGTTATTTTCTATATAAGTTCTTCATTTGGTTGAGTTTTCGTTCTAAAATAAAAAATTTTTAAAAATTAATTTAATTTTTATGTACAAAAATTCATTAAATTATAATATATAATTATAAAATTATAGATTCGCTTACATGTATTCCTAAGTTTTCATTAAAGTAATTCATTTTCTTAAAAATAAGAATTATAAAATGGATTATTTGTATGATATATTTATATCATATATAAAATATACCTTTAAAATCCTTTTAAAATTCCGCATATATTGATTCTTCAATTATTATTAATACATATTGTTGTTATTTTAACAGCATTAATCATATTTCTTATTAGTTGTGGTTTTTAGTTAATAGGAGAAAGAAATTCCTATAAGAAAGGGTTCAAATAACTTATTCTTCTATATAATCTTTATACTTACCAACAAATCGTGATGTTTTTTTAATATATCAAACGATCTGATCTAAAAAATTATATTGTATTTTTGAGACTAAGTAAGAGATCGATCATCTGATCTGAATATTATAATATGTAAAGCAACATTTTATCCGTAAGATTCTGAATATTATAAAATTCCAAGCAACATTTTAATTGTAAAAATCTGAATATTATAATATGCCAAGCAACATTTTAATTGTAAGAATCTGTAAAGATAATGAAAATTAACTTACTTAGTTCACATTGATTAAAAGTGTAAACTATATATAATATATTATATATATTATACTATAAAAAAATAAAGTATATACCTAAAAAGATCCTCGTCTATAAGTTTATATTTCATTTAAGTTTCTATAAGCTTTATTTTTAAAGCCTTATAAATGTAGATATATCATTTTGTTATTTTTTCTGAATTGATAATGTCGTATCCGTTAGGGTTTTTGATTAGCAATAAAAGTTTCTTCAAAAAAAGTCTACAAATAAATTTAAGATATCTTACAAATGAATTATATTTTTCAATACCTGGTACTTTATATCATATGTCACATCCATTAGGTTTTTCAACCAAGAAATAAAACAGTTGCTTCAAAAAAAACGTGAGAATAAATGAAATTGACGATATCTAACAAATAGTTATCCACTGTATTTTTACTTACCGAGTACTTTTTATTATTTGTCATGTCTATTAGGGATTTGATCCGTAAAAAGGAAAGTTTCCTTAAAAAGTCTAATAATATATTGAATTAAAGATATTCTATAAATAAATTCCACTTGTACCTACCTGGTACTTTTTATCATAAGTCACATCAGTTAGGGTTTTTAAACAAGAAAAAGAAAAATTTTCTTCACAAAAAGTCTAAAAATACATAAAATTGAAGATATCTAAAACCTGAACTGTATTTCTACTTACCTGGTACTTTTTATCAAATCACATACATTAGGGTTTTTAACCAACAAAAAGATAAAGTTTCCTCAAAAAACTAAAAATCTGTTAAATTAAAGACATCTAACAAATAGTTATCCACTGTATTTCTACTTACTGAGTACTTTTTATCATTTGTTACATCCGTTAGGATTTATAATCGGCAATTGAAGATCTCAAACAAACAGTTATCAACTGTATTTCTATTCATATATCCGTTAGGGTTTTTGATCAACAAAAAAAAAGGTTCCGAAAAAAAGGCTAGAAATACACAAATTAAAGATTTACTACAAATGAACTGTATTTCCATTTACTTTGCATTTTTTATCATGTCATATCCGGTAGGGTTTTTAATCTTCAAAAAGAAAAGTATCTTCAAAGTAACTGTAATCATTCATTGAATTGAAGATATCAAACAACTTTATATCGATTTACCTGGTATTTACTAACATTTGTCATATCCGTTAGGGTTAAGGAAAGCTTCCTCAAAGAAATTCTAAATGTTCCTTAAATTGAAGTTTAATAATAATTATTTTGAACTTTATTTCTTCTTACTCTGTATTTATTTACATAATAGGTATGTCATATATGTGGGAGGATATGTGTTTAAATACAAGGTAGCCAGCCTTTTTGACATAAAAATTTTGTAAATTATGATTTGAAATAATCAATATATAAAATCATTAAAATTATATGAAACCATTATTTGTGGTTCCCATCATAATCTATATCAGGGCTGTCCAGACCAGATGCGATCGCGGGCCAATATAAATCAATGTACAGATTGGAGGGACGCAGAAATCAACACATACGTTCATAGTGGTTTCCGACAAAAATAAAAATACGGTTGTAATGATAAATTCAGTTTTATCGAATCTCTGAAAGGTTACAGGCTCCTCGGGGAGGTATGCGGATCTGCGGTCAGTTATTGTTTAGTCTAATGAAGTGATAAACAATAATCCAGTCAAGGCGTAGAGAGGGGTTATGAAGAAACCTCGCAGTTAATAGAGAGTAAAAGTGCTCAACATAATTTTATTTGGTGTACCAAAAAAAAATGTGCGTAATTGTAGTAGATTAAAAACATGTCGCGGACCGCACAAACATTAGCCGCTGGCCGTGCTTTGGACAGCTCTGATCTATATTATAACGGAATAACAAATATACCTCAGATATCCATTTTATGAAATCACTTAATATAGTGTATAGTATAATGGAATAGCATATAACATATACCTTATATATCCATTTTCATAAAATTTTTAACTTTATATTCAGTGTTTATAACCGCGGCGATTCTCCTTGAGGACATAAATATTTTTTAATATGTAGACGGTAACATCTGAAATGGAAAAGATATTGTTAAAATTTTATGAGTATTAGTTCTAGGAGGATGACCTACCCTGTTATGGAATAACATGTATAATTAATTAATATTAATTTTTCAAGTATTACGTCATTGTTGATTCTTCTTTTTTATAGAAAGAGGAATAGGGTTTGCTTTTAAGAATTCTTCATATTCTTCATATTTTTTTATCAAACTTTTATTAGAAGCTTCTTTAAAAAAGTCTGAAATTAATTAAAGGCCGACATATGTTAAACGTTAAATTTATCAAATATTAATGGTCAAATTTTTTAATATCCACCGACCTGATATTTCATTTTATATTCTAATATTACAAATAAGGTTCCATAACCATGCTTGGTTATAGTTAACTGTAAGGCAATATTCGTTGGATTAGAAATTTACGAGATTAATTATTTTCTCACTTACCTTATTTTAGGAACTTTTTAAAACTCAACGTATTCGTAACGAATTTAACTAATATTATTTATTTATTATAATATCACATTTGCTATTATAACTGCTAATTGGTTTTTGCCGAAAAGTTATAAAAATTTGTCTACAAGAAATTTTGAAGTTAACGCTAGAATTTTGAGAAAACACAATAATTTTTAGTTTTTTTATTCTACATGTTATTTTTTTTTCAATTTCATTGTTTACTTAGATTATTATATTATTATTTTATTTTATTTAAATTAATTCTATTACATTTTTCATAGGGCTCTGACTTAATGTAATTGAAGGTTATCTTCTATTAATCTACGGTTTAAAAAGCTGGTTCTACACGAAAGAAAATTGTTACCTTTCTTTCTCCTTACCCCTCTTCTTACCTTTCTTTCTTCATAAAAGCTGTGATAGTATATATTACTGCCTTAAAGCCAATATTGATTAACTCTGGATTAAATTAGCTATTGGTACTAGATAATAACGTCGTGAAATTTATAATCAATTGGTATTCAGATAATTTATATGTATATAAACATAAAAGGCTCAACTCTCAAATTAAAGTAAATTATCCAGTTGATCGCACATATGGTATCCCATAATTATTTAAAAAATTGATATAAATATTTTATATCTTTAATACGTATAGAGTATTGTACTAAACAATCAATGATAAATAAATGTTCACTAAATCAGATTAAGATGTTTCAAATACAGAAAGTGAAAATGAAGATGAATTATTCAAAAGTGAATGTGCAGCACTAGACGAGAAATGAGGACAGAAAGTAAAAGATGCTCACTGAAATGTAACGAAATATCACAGAAGCGCAGAAATGCAGTAAGGTCAAAGTATCCGTATCCTTTTCAGATAGCAAATGTCCTCTAAAGATTGTGATAAAAAAATGTAAGTCACTGAAGTGATAACGTGTTTAGTGACTCGAATTATTAAGGCATTACACTTACAACGGTTGATGGAAGAGATTTCCTGTACATTTACAGGCACTTGAGTGGGTGTTTACTCAATCAGAACATTTGGAATAGGATAACAGAAACTGAAAATGGTGAACTTCTGCCTTTTATTTGGACTCTTCTTTTTTTCCATTTTCTTGATTTGCACCGCAGGAGTCAAACTGTTGTTTTGGGAATTTGAAATCAAACTAAAATTCTGTGATATACTCGCATAATGTGCTACGTAATCTTATACACTCAATTGCATTTATTGCACGAGGGCCACTACATAAGTTTAACAAGGCATTGAAGCTTAACATAAGAGAATGTTTAATAAAGCAATATTTGTTGATCTGCCCAAAAATAAGTTAATCATCAAATAAGATGCCTTTGGATAATAGCATTCAATTGTTGAAAATACTGCTTAGTCAGATATTCTTCAATATTTCACAGATAGTGAAACTTTGTATTTGCGTTCGATACTTTTATAGTACCCTCGTACAAATTTTCATTTGTGCATTTTCCACATGAGATATTTATTTCTATTCGTTTAATTTTGTGGGCGTTCATTGGTGTGAAACATTATCACAGGATACCATAAGTTAAAATAGACTTTAAAAATAATTTTTGATCTCAAGAACTATTTGATTTGACTTGAAATAAAGATGTGAGTTTATGACATTATAGAATATTCAGGCATTGCGTGCACTGTGGACATACATATACTACATGTGAAATGATCTATTAAAGTTGACGTTTTCCACATCTCTGGTGCATGACCTGTTTGTAATTTTTCAACTTCAGTCATATACTGTTGGGTTTTGAAGTTTATGAGTACCTATTCAAAAATCTGTAACTATTTACATAAAAATAGCAAAGCTGCTGTTAATCAGTATGTCATGTCTGCTCACTTCCGGATAATCTCATTCGGAGTCTGTACTGTATTGGCGATTAATTTTTTGCGAAAATTGTGAAATTTAAAATTAATTTGAATAAGTGTAACATTTAAGCAGGCGAACAGAAGCCGCTGCAGTTTAACTGCTCTTTCAAAGATCACACTTCTGAAAGGTCATGGTGCATATCCCCGAGAATGCAGCGTGTACAAATATGTGGGATATACGTATGCGTGTATTTGTATCGAAAAATCTTTAAGAGTCATTCAACATCATTTTTTGTTTGTTTATTTTTCATGTAAACTGGGCATATGACGAGAGAATCACTTAAAGAGCCAAGTAAGTAAATACGTTTTGAAGCCTTAGGCACAGAATGTGTATTAATAAACAATGCACATTCTGAACACAAATATATATTTTATATAAGGAACCCTTTGCGTGTAAATGTGAATGAGTCAGATTTTTGTTGCCCACAGGTAGAATTTCTTACATCGAATACATGAGAATGTTCATGCTAATGTAAATAATACAATAAATGTTGACACTTTGTGGATGCTTGGCACTTTACAAACCTACTTCCACGCAGATAATTGAAATATGGAAAAGAAATCTTTTATTTATGTCTACTTCAGGACTAGTGCATGTATGTATAGTCACACACATTGTGGTTTCGAGTGATAAATTGTAGAAACCGCAAAAGACTGCCTTCAAGCGTGACCAACTGTAACATTACAACAGGAGAACAGAAAGTTCGATAGTGTAAATCTTCGCAGTCAGCATCAGCTGCACCAACTGGAAAATTAATGCAGCGGGTGGGAATAACGAACGTGAGATTCACAGATAGAGATTCATGCATGCGAACGTTGTGATGTATTCAACCATGACACTGCTTATTTTTTTCAGATATACTGAAACCATTTACACAATTATTAATGCCTCAACTTAGTTTATGGTAAACAGATTTTAATGGATTCGGTACGTTAAAGATAACCTTGACATAATTATATCAGAAATGTACTTATTATTTTGTGAACAATTGAAATATATAAAGAAAAATGTAAATCATCTGTTTTTAGTGTTAATAAACGATTTCTTAGATTGATATAAAATGACTATACTTTCAAAGAATTTTAAAGAATATTCTTTCAAACGTGGTCAAGATCCCCATAAGTGGTTTTTTAACAATTTAATCGCAATCTTTAATTTAATGAATATCTGCAATTTATTTACATGTCAATATATATAACTATTCTTGTGTTATATCCAATTATATAATATTAGTATGTTTTTTGTTTCAATTGTTGTATATCATCTTTAAAATTCAAATATCTACAAGGAAAATAAAGATTAATCATTTTCATTTTTGTATTGGAATGAACTTCTTACCATCATTAGATTTGTGCGCCTGTAAAAAATATTTAAAGATAAATATTTTGATTAATGTATCAGTTTTGAAACATAAATCCGTCGAAAACATAGAAATGTTTGATAGAAATAAAAATTGCTAACATAAAAATAATTTTTTTTAAATGAAAGTTAAGTTTTTAAATAAATCTAAGCAGTATTTTCCATTTCAGGACACACATTATTTATTAGTTTATTAGTCATTAGAAAAATAAAGACAACCATTGCAATCTCCTGTTGAAATTTTAAAAAATGAAATGTTATTTGGTGGCACTAAATTATTGTGATTATTTGAGTAGTAAAACATAAAAATCCTTGTTGTTCTCCATTTAAAAGAAGTCTCATTCATTCTTTAGAAAATCGATTAAAGAGTTAATTAACCACCAAATTTTAACAGGAACTCAGAAAAGTTATTAAGATATAATAATTCTAAAATTCATAAAATCTATTCAAAAAAATCCCTAACAGCAGGTAAACAATCTCTGCTTTAGAAATTGAGATTAAATAAAATTCTCAAATACTTCGAAGTTCGAATCCACATTCTTAACATAAAAGAATTTTATGAAGACAAACAAGGGTTGACTCATGCCATGCCACGTCATGTGTAAAGTAGAATAATAAATAAAAATAAATCCATTATTGTGAAATATAAGAACATATGCTCAGGATCGTTTTTCCTGTTATCCTGGTAATTGAAGAATAGAAAATCAATATTTCAATTGATATTGATATTTTTTATTCAAGAAATGCAAAAAATTGAAGACAGTTTTCATAATTTCAATAGAATTTAATAATAATTATAATTGTAAATTTTAATGCAGATTTGCAAAGTTAGTAAATGTGGGTTTTTTTTTGAAGTTTTTAAATTGTTTTGTGACAACAGAAATTTACAACAGTATTTAAAATTATTGAAATATAAAAGCATCTAACATTCCACCTAAAAACTGCACTATATTTGTATGCATTATGCTGTCCTCTTTCTGCTCCAAATGACGTTTGGCATCTTGTTTTCCAATATTTTTCAAAGCTAATTCCTCTAATGACATTTTCTCCTCATCTTGCAGAGCCTTATTATAGTCCTTTAGCAGATTGAAAATACCGTTAACATCCTCATTATTACGGGTTTCATTGAGATTGTAGTCATTAAGTTTAAGTGATTCGCTCCAACATTTCTTATGTAGATTTGACAAGATTTTTGTTTCCAAATCATTTTTCCTATAGTTAATATTTATTGAGTAGTAGTGTCTATTTAAGCCATGTATTAACGCCTGTACAGATGGTTTTTGCAAGTGACCTAAATTTGATGTAGTTTGCCTGGGTTCTTGGCTCAAGACCATCGTATTTGGATTAATAAGACGAAATGCATCAGCAACCACTTTACCCTTCACTGATTGTATTGGATCAACAACTACTGCTACAGCACGTTCCGATAACGCTTCAAAAGATTGCTGCGTATTTATATCTACACCAGATAACCAACAGCCAAATCCTGGATGAGAGTGATACCAGCCTACAACCATTTCAGGCCGCCCAACTTGTTTTAGCATTTCTAGCATTTTAGCTTGAAACACTGGATCGACTGCTTCAACTGATACGCCTGTACCAGTTTGAGGCATAGCGAAGACATCAGACACACGGACTGTATAATCATCTACAAATTCCCCAAGCATGAGACCCATAACTTCCATTGGCACACCAGCGCGACCATGCTTTAACATTTTAAGTAGTGCCAATGACGAAATAGAGACTTGTTCGGCTGTATCTACAATGTGGATGTCTTGCGGTGGTTGGTGTGCATGCGGGCGACTAAGGCGAAGTAGACGATCCATGGTAATAAACGGCACTACACGAAATTAAAGACAATTTTCACTAGATTATACTGCTTTTAATATATTTAATTAAAATTGAACTTACACAGTCCTTTTTACCTCTAGTGCTTAATAAATTTGATGCTGTCCAAACGACACACTTTCGCAGCCGGGCAATTTTTCAAATGACAGTGCAAATTTGCTGCAGTTGCTACAGAAAAAGGTATTGCCAGTAAGCAAATATGTAAATTGATTATAAATAAAGTCTGGTTGTCATATAAAAAAATATATATTTACTTACATGATTTAGTAGGTTGTGCTAGCTTTTATGTTAAGAGTTTTTGCCAATTGCAAAAATTAATATATTTATCACAAACTAAACAGTTTTTGCAACTGTTATAAAAGTTTTGTTATAACAGTGATGAGAAATTTTCTTAACAAAAAAACGATTTAGAAAGATTTATAGAAATATTAAAAAACTATTTTAAATTAATGTTTTTGACATGTGCGTTGTTTAGATTATATTTTATGGTAGATTTTATTATTTTATAAAGAACTAAAAGTGATACGAAAAAATGGCAACATAAATGCTATATATTAAATTATATACTGAAATAAATACATTTTATGCGTTGTAATAAATAAATATAATTCCTAAAAGAGTGTCTCGAAATTTCTTTTAAAGCTATGTAATAAAACTTATAGTAAACACATTTGGAATAATAGCGACAGTTACCTTAATGATAACAATCAGTGGCACTCTGATTATCCCAAGAGTATATGTATTTCCCAAGGATTCATTGTGATGACTTTTTTATTTTTTTATTAATTTATTTTCTATTTAACTCAATATTATTGATTATATGAAATTCTCAATTTAAGTACTTACTTGAAACTAATGAAAATAGCATATATATAAACAGCGACATAACTTAAAACTGTTGTATTTAGTGTTTGGGTCTTAAACTAAAATCAATTAAGCAAATTTACTAAGTAAAATGCTTAGTGTACATTACACATATACCTAATGTAATTCCTTTTTTGATTCTTTTATCTTCTTTCTTTTTTTTTTCTTCAGGTATAAAATCGATTCTTCTGTTAAGATCACAAATTTTTCTTTTTGATATTTTATTTAACAAAAAGGAAGTTGGGCAAACGTTTGCATTGCCGTATGTGTTTGCACAGTAAAGATCTTTCATTTATTTTTAGTCATCTTCCTACTTTCTATTTTTGCTGTCACCTTGGTCGATCTTAAGACGTACACATTATTTTTCGCTTTCTTTGAAGAATTGGTTTTTATATTTATTTTTACTTAAAAACTGTGTACGCTTTATTCAGACTTAATTAATTAAATACGCACGTGTAAGAATGTCACCTAAATTTTTTGTTAATTAAAGTAGGAACTATAGCAATGGAATAGAGAAGCAGAAAGTTTAGTAGGAAACATTACTAACCACATGTTTCTACCAGTGTGTTCCTTGAGAACATAAATAAACAACATATTACGTATGTATATATATATATATATATATATAATGTATGCATATTCTGCATGTGTCAATTGTGTTAGATCAGTTCGGTAAACGCATGATTATTTTTAATACTTGAAAATTTCCCTTGTTGTATTTAATGAACGCCTGTTAAAAAACAAGAAATTATCGTGACAAAATCAATAAAACAACAAAACAAACAAATTACCTATCAACCGAAGAATACTACAAATTGGTGATAGATCGAGTTACAAACAAAATTGCCGCAACCCAAAACTGATCTGTATATGTGTGAAAAAAAAAATAACAAGGGATCTCTATCTTCTTTTTTCACAGAAATTTTAAAATAAATATTAATTTGGGAGTCCAGAAAATTATTTAAATTGACCTAGGCATACAGCATATAACGGTAGGTGAATAAAAACCCAAACCAGATGCATTGTGAGTCATACACAAATCATATTTTGTTGAATTATTTATATAGGCTCTGAGTAGATAATTTCTTCCAGTGTGCTGTGAACTTTGTCACTAATTCGTGGTTCTACACTTAACTATAAATTATTGATTATATATAATGTTAAGTAATAGGCGCCCATCCATCACAATAAGATGTTTTTGTCGTTCAAAAAGCAAGAATCGTTGAAAATATGTTTGAAGTTAAAGAAAAATGATCATTATTTATTTTTCACACAAATTGCTTATGCTTGTGCCATAACAAACTCTTTGTGAACACTTAGGGGTAATTTGATTCTATTTGCGTACCGCATAAGATGTTAAATGTGCAGCTCGAAAGAAGCCCTATATTTCTTTTTACGGAGTATTTCTTTCTTTTTATATCAGTTTTTTTGTTTCTTAAGGAATATGTGTTTCGTGGGAATATTATTTAAAAATATAACGAAGATCTTGTATGTAATAGGGGACCAGTTTTTTCATTTTTAAGATGAAGTAAAAGTTTTTTCTTGATGCGATATTATTCTACATTGAATATCGTGAGTCAGAATACACTGCTAACACTCACTGTATGTGGTAAGGTTCTTGTATAAAGTACATAAGTACATAAATAAATATAAGTATTCGTATGCCTTCGTCATTGTGTTTTATATAAATCTTAACACAAAGATTTATATACACAAAGATTTAAATTCCGAATGTGATCTACTTTTATTTTTAAGGACACTTTATTTTGTTTAAAACATTGTTGATTTAAAAAATGTTTTTAACATGGATATTAGGACTTTGATTCTGATTAGAACCGAAACTATTCCAAAAATATATAATTAATGAAATATAGAGATTTATTTTATTTTATAATAAAAACCTCTTGTCAAAGAGAATCTATTGTATTTACTTTTTCTTATTATATATAAAAAACGTGCGTTCACGTTCTTTAGTTTTTTTACATATATTTGTATAAGAAACTCCAATATTTCAGTTTTCTCATAAAAACTTTACATACAAATTCTGCTGTCCTAGTAACATTTATCACGCCTTCGACAGGATCATTTAAATAAAATTGAAGGAACAAATGAAAGAAAATATATTATAAGAAATAAAATAAGAAATTAATTTGAATAGAAAATGATATTTGTTTGGCTAATTGATTTTCACCAGGCCAGCATAATTGACGAGCAACAAACAAATCAGTTTTCAAAAAGGAAGAAATGGAAAGCCACATCGTGCCTTAAAAGAATTTCAAATTCCAAGCAATTATGGACTATGAAATATCATTGAAAATTGTTTTTTCTTTATTTGTGTTAAACGCAGTTTTTTTCCCCTTGTATCCTGTAACACCATCCTACACATGTTCTACGGATCTAGCAAAGATTGTGAATTAATGAGAAATCTTAATTGTATTTAATTTAATGACATTTTGTAATAACTGCTATTGTCAAAATTAGTTTATGATATAATTTATTAGAATAAAATTCTAAACGAATATTTACTTATTATTTTTATTATAAATTATGTAGGATGGTGTAAAAGGAGAAGAATCATGTGAAGAGTATTACTTTCGTTGGTTTTCAAATGATTTCATTGTTGTTATATATATTTATAGCAACTATTTTCAATTGCATCAAAAGATCAGAGATGACTACAAAATATATTTTTATGCAATAATTCACGAGAAGGAAATTTCAATAAATCGGGGTAATTTGTTTGTTTTGCTAATTAGTTTTCATTAGGTGAACAGAACATAAAGGAGCATAAAAATGATGTTCAGATAAAAAAGTTATCTTAGAGTTTGTCCAAGAATGCACTCACTCATCTTTTGTTTGTATTTTAGAATGTTACACAAATGTTTGTAATTTGATACCATAAGCATATGAAAATAGGAAATTTGTGAGAAATTTATTTTCTAAATATGTATGTATGATATTTTTTTCATATACTGAGCACAGTGTTACCATCAGCGCGCTTTGATACAACGTTTAAGACTGTTTGATTTACTGTTCATATTGCGAAAAGAAAAAACAGACAACAAAAGTATTATTACATATTTTTTTAATAATTTTGCTTGGTTAAAATTGTCGACAGAAGTTTTAAAATTAACACAAAAAATATGTGTTGTAAAAATATAATTCTTGATCATATGGTTTGAATATTTAACTGATTTGTTGAGTTAGTGACAATGCACTCTACTCTCAGCATTAGAAGTAACTGCAGTTACTCGCTTATAGGCTCATGTTATATGGAGTGTCCCTGGCATGTCAAAATCAAAATTGTTTCTGCTTTCAATGTAAACTAAAAAAAGGGGATTGAGAGAAAAAAAACCAATGTCGGTTTAAATTTGGTCATGAGAGCCGAGGCTATCTGTGCCTTGTCACTCAAGACAAAACCGTGTTTTATGTATGTATATATATATATTTTCTTTAAAATTTATGCACAACTAAAAAGTAAAAAAATCAGAGAAAAAATACGAAATTGACAAACTAATTTTTTTCAGACGCCAATTATACGTGCTCGTGACACTCTGCATAACATGGGCAATCGAGAATAAATACCAGCTGATTTGGTGTAGAATGTGATATTTCATTTGTAACTTCACAGCAAACAGTCAAAAAGGAAATAAAAAACGCAAACTAAATAACGAAAAGTTGGTGCAGATTCTACAGCTATCGCAATAAAAGAGTCGGCTTGCTATTCTTCACAGATTTCAGAATTATCTTAAGCCTTTAGAAATATTTGATGAATATCACATAGTGTATGCATAAAATGCACCACTGTTTGTGAACGTGTCGTACTGGTTTCGAATCATCCAAACTATACATTTTTTACGATATTGTGAAAGATGCGAAAATCTTCGACTGACCATCATCGCTCTGGTAAAGTCTAAAATTGTTAAAATCTAATGTCACAGAACATAATTGCTGATTAACTGGTCTTAATTGGTATGACTGCATCACATATATCAAACAAAATTCGTAGATAAACGAAGAAATCAGTTAATAGGTGTCTCAAATTTCAACTGAAGTTTAATATTTTCTTCATAAATTTAAAAATATAGACTTCATGACTATTAATAACATTTTAACAGGTGATAAAAGTTAGTTTAGTCGTTAGTATGTAGTGGCAATAGAAGTCAGCGGTAACTGCTACAAGAACAAGAGGAACTACGTCGATATTTCAACACGATAACGGGCCAATTCACACTGCTGTAACATTAATAACTTCATAACGGTCTTAAGAATTAAAGAAATTTTTCTAACACTATGATTTTTGGTTGTCTAGAAGGGTCATCGGTAATAATAGAGAGATTAAATAGTGCAGTAAATCTTCAAATCTGATTCAAATCTGAAAATGTCAGCTAAACAAACTTTTGTTAGTCCCCTCGTACATTAAATCAATTGAGGTAATTTGTTTGTTTTTTCAAAAAATAGGTTGTAAGGTTGGTAGACCCCGCATTATCTATCTCCGTTAAACAGAGTTTGAAATTAAGTCGCTTGT